TACCGGTCAGAGGGTCACTGCCACAACTACACACCCCAAACTACTGTAACCCAAAAGCAGTAAGGGGCAATATGCATGCAAACAGGCATGGCTGTGTTCTAGTAAAATTTTATTTACAAGATAAATTTGGCATGGGCCCTAGTCCGTAGACTTCCAGTATGGAAGAGAGCAGGAAGTGGTATTAGAATATTTCAGCAGATATAACTTAATCTATCAAAAAGCTATTGAGAGGCACTTTGTTATAAATGAAAGTGTGTATTGAAGTGAATCTTAGGATGTGACATCTTTGAAGCCAGACCCCCTCCGAACCCAAGCATTTCTACTTGCTAGCTGTATAGCCTCATATAGTTACTTTACCCTATTTTCTCAGTTTCCTCATCTGGAAAATGGTGAGGGTGAGGGTGAGGGAGAATGGGGGTGGGGGAGAATGGGGTTGTGATGAAGACATAATCACCTAATGCAGGTAATTCACTCAAATTCATGCCTGGTAAACAATAAAAACTACATAAATATAGCTATTATCATAAAAGTTCATTTTCATACACAATGGTCTATCAGGAGGAGAAAAGTAAAGGCCCCACATATTTTCCAGCTCCTTCTTGTCATCAGTAAATAAACAAATGAATAAGCAAACAGACAACTTATACCCTGCTAATCTATAAGAGAAGATCTGTATGCACAACATCATTCTGAATTCCCAAGGACCAAGCCTGAGACTTATTTATTCTTATATCCGCAGTACTAATCATTGTCTAACATATAGTTGGGAAATGTAAAATGAATGAGAAAGTAATGGTTGAATAAATCTGTGACTATAATAACTATCAGAGGCATCCTTGGTGACTATAAGACCATGGAGATAAAAGGTCCCCTAAGAGTTAAATAAAGAGGACACATTTGATAGAATAAAGGCAGGAGGCACCGGTAGACTGTAAGCTGCTAAAACAGGCACTTTCTAGAAATTAGAGCAGTCAGGGTATTGAGGGTAAGGATAAATACATACCTTTCCAGGGCTAGGAAATAGCCAAGGAAGTTTAGGTCCTGTCTGATGACTTTGGCATGACTTTCTAGAGGTCATAGAATTAGAAACAATTTGAGTAATGGAGGAGAGAGCACTGGCAGTTTGGGATATAAATGATACTCCAAGAAAATGCACAGATTGAAGAGTGAAATTAGAATTAAATGACAAAGTAGGAAAAAGGACTCTCCCATCTTCTTCCAGGTCTTTAAATGTAAAATATAATTGATCATTCTTTTTTTTTTTTTTTTTTGGTAGGTAAAGAACAGTTAATATGACCTCCAAACACCACACTATAGAATCATTTTTCCATTCTTTAATTCTCTGCTTGTCTGAATCTCAATGCTAACTCCAAGCCCTAATGAACCTTAAGTAGCAAATATTGGCTTTCTTTACCTTGTATTATTTCCTTAAGATCTGGTAATCAGCTATTTTATCCTGTGCTGATAACTTTCCTAAACTTCCTCCAGTGCTCTTTAGTAGTGTATAGCAGCACTTCTCAGACTTTAATGTACGTGTGATCATCTAGGCACCTTGCCAAAGTGCAGACTCTGGTTCAGAATATCTGGAGTGGAATCTGAGTCTGACTCTCCAGCAAGCTGCTGATCCACGAGCCCTATGTAGAGAACATTTAATTCTTATTTCCTGCCTAATATTATTCTGATTTATTTTCCCCTAGAAAAAGCCCTTTCTCTGGCTCACAGCTCAAATGGGACACTGTGGTCACTTACTCCTCCCTTCACTTTGTGAAAGCACCCAAAATTGCCCTCAATTGCCTAAATGGATTTCTATAACCAGGGGCATTAGGACAGTATCTCAAAGCTTTGGAAAATTGAAGCTATCCAACAGGGCTTTCATATACAGCTTTTGACCCTCATTTTGATAACAGAGAAGCCTGTCTGTTTTACTCCACCTCTGCTTAAAATCTGCCAACCAACATTTTCCTCAATTCTTCTTTTTCTTTTCATATGCTTGAAAATTTCTATGTGAGCTTACTCCCTGTTGGATAAACTTATAATTAAATTAATAGTCAGTAACCATTCCTCACTTTAAATTGTGTTGTTAGAGTGAATGACAGTGTCATATAAATACTTTCCTAGATATATTAAAATTTAAACATTCTATTTCTATAAGAAAGCATATAGAAACTATAAAGCTACATGATGTGAGATCTTTAGTTATTACTGCTTCGCTTGCAGTAATAACCTAGATCATTTGTGCTATTTTTTTTTTACTGATAGTTGTACAATATGTTATATATCTCTTGAATAAGGCATAGTGAATCTTACCCCAACTTTATTTTAAACTTATATAGTTTTAATAAACGTATTGAACTTATATAATTTTCTTCTGTTTTCTTTCTCTAATCCGAAATGCCCTTTGCAATTCTGAAGAAAACTAATATCACACAAACATCTTATTGTGTTCATGTGGGACTCATTTCAGTTAATCTCCAAGTATATCTTTTGCTGCTTCTACCTCTTGAGAGTTTTCATTCTGGGTATTTTCTGTGCAACATTTTTTTGATGTCTATACCCAATTACTTCCTTTTAGCCCCTCCTTCCGTGAAATCTTTTCCTGGAATTCTCTCTATCTTGAGCCAGAGATCCATCCACCTATCCATAAATTCAGTCATCTGTTCATTCATTTATCCATATTCATTGATTTTATTAGAAAATTACATCATAATACATGGAGCATTGTCTTTGAGCTATTATAGTCAGGAGACAGCAATAACAGCTTTTCTTCATAGCAGAAAAAAGGAGGAGAGGAGAGGAGTAAAGAGACTTTTTAATTCAAAACGGTTTGTCTAACACAACATTTTTCTTCAAACTTTTCAAAGATTTCACAAAACAGTTTCAAGATAAAGACAAGAAAACAAATCTAACTGCATAGAAAAAAAATAGATTTCCCTTGGAACAAAACCCAGGCTTCTTACCAAGTCCCCATTTAATCTGGCCTCAACCTATTTTTCAAATTCACCACCACATTCTCTCCACACCCTTAAGGTGATCCCAGTCACACTCCATGTTCTTTTGTGTTTCCTGAAACACAACTTCATTTCCACCTCAAAATTGTGCACTTGCTTTTCTTTAAGCTTAAAAAACTCCCCCCAACCTCTACTTGTCTCCTTCTCATCATTTAAACTTTTTTCAGATGTCCGATCCTCTGTAACCCCTCCCATCAAACCATCCAGTCAGACTCAAAGTTATCCTTTTTTATAAGTTCTTAACACTTTTCTATCATTTTTCATCTATACAGAGAAGCCCTGGCTTACAATGGTTCAATTTACAATTTTTAGACTTTACAGTAGTGTAAAAACAATACACATTCAGTAGAAACAATACTTTGAATCTTGAATTGTGATCTCTCTTCCCATGCTAATGATATGCAGTATGATACTCTCTCAGCAATCATGATGTTAAACAACCAATACTCTACAATATGCAGTGATGCCAGTATTTTTGGATAATGTGTCTTGTGTTTTTACATCCCATCATGTCCACAAAATGCCACATGTGTCTCATGCTTCTGAAGAGGGGAAGGCAATTGCTCTTGAGATGACATTCAAGATAATTTCCCAAAATGAAGGCAGCAAGCCAGTAATAACCATGCCACGAGAGGTAGGACTTTCACATTCCACAATCTTGACCATCTTATTTTTTAAATGCATTTTTAACTTGCAATATTATCAACTTAAAATGGGATTAGCAGGAAGCATCATAATCTATTGTCTTTCCCATTGAGAATTGGGAAACTTTCTCAGGGAGCAGAAAGGTAATTGGGTAAAGATATCAAAAAAAATGGTGCACAGAAAATACCCAGAATGAAAACTCTCAAGAGGCAGAAGCAGCAAAAGATATACTTGGAGATTAACTGAAATGGGTCCTACATGAACACAATAAGATGTTTGTGTGATATTAGTTTTTTATTTCAGAAATGGGATATATATATGTGTTTGTGTGCGTGTGTATATATATAGTCAATATCTAAATTTCTAAATTCTAAATTTAGAATTCTAAATTAATTCTAAATTTAATTCTAAACCCTTACCATCTAGGATATTACCCATAATGAACTCAAGAAATATATATGTTGACTGACCAAGACTTAATAGTTTAATTACCTTTGCTGTTGTCCCCGCAGAAGTGCATTCGCTGATTTTCTCAGGGAGCAGAAACCTCTGCTTTTTATTTGTGAAAGCAGCCTTGTAAAACCTGTGATTTAGTTTAGGTATGGGCATTGTGAGGACATTATCTAACACAGTGTTATCACCATAGCCCTCTACTCATAAAACTTAAAAAAAAATCCTCTTGGAATACTGTCAGAAAATTTATTGCATTAAGGATTTGGCATATTTGTTTTCCTTAGAATATACCTAAGTAATTGTATCCTTATTTGGCTTTGTCACCAGTAAGTCAATCTGTAGTATCTCGAACTTATCTTACATATCTGCATCTTTGTAAATACATATTATAGAGCATGTGCTAAAATGTATTCTAAGGGCTCATATAGTTCCTCACTTAATATTTTACTTGTGGGTTACTTCAGGGGCCAACTTTCAGAAACTATCAGAAATAAGAGAGGACAAAATTAATGATGACTTTTTTCACTTACCTATCTATTACTAACTTATTTCCTAGATATATAGCATACTTTTATGTTATAACTAGGATCATTGTTTAACTCATAAATTTTAAAAAGCCAAGGAAAGGGAGAAAGAGGAAAAAAAGAGAAAACAGGCAAAACAAGGAAAAGAATCATTTTACGGAGTAACAATATATATCCCTGGACTAAAGGTAAACAAGAATCTGCATAAACAGGCTATGACACTACTTGGGATTAGATCCAAGTTTCCCAAAAGCAAATTTGTGTTTTATGTTATTGATAGCTTTATCTGTAGAACTTGTAACTAATACAGATACATACATATCAGCTGCACAGTAAACTAGTAACATAAATAATGCAGCAGACATTAGCCTTTTTTTTTTTTTTTTTGGAAATTAAAGCAGATATATTTTATCCCAGGACAGTTGTTCTCAGTCAGGGGTGATTTTAAATATTTGCAACTGGAGCTCTTAACAATGTCTGGAGACATTTCTGGGTGGTTCTACTGGTATTGAATGGGTAGAGGCCAGAGAAGATGCTAAATATCCTGCAAGGCACAAAACCGACCCTCATAAGAAAAAATTTTTGGCTCCAAATGCCGACAGTACTGAAGTTGAGAACTCCTGTCCTAGAGGGATGATAAAAAATAATTTTCCAACAAAAATAAATCATGATTTATTTTAAATCATGATTCTCATACAGATATAAAATAAGTGTCTTAAAGAATGTATTTCAGTGAGAGAACCAGACAGATGTTATAAGTGGTTTAAAAGAAAAATCTAAAAAACAGACATATTTACAGATCAGGAAGCTGAATATGCAAATGGCAAAACGATCTGTTCCACAGGATGAGGAGGGAATTCAATTGAACTTCTACTGGACCCGCAGAGGTTATATACAATTTGCAGAATTATAGAAGATCTCCCATAGAATCAGGAAAGGCAAAAAGGTGTGCTATATATGGACAATGGTTTTCCATATGTTTTTCCTGCAAAAAGAAGGAGAGGTAGAGGAGAGATGTTGGATACCATTAACTGCTGCCATTAGCTAAGTATATTCTGGTAGCATTTGGATACTATTCATCAAAGAAGAGTCTTAGTAAGCATATAAACAATATTTCTATTTACCTTATTTCATATTGAGTAATTTTATTTCAAGGATCCTTGAATCCATCCCCTTCTCCTGGAAGGTGTACATCTAAAGTAGATTTTTAAAATTGGATTTTCTTCTCTCCATCTTTAGTTCAACAAAACAAGCTCAATCAGAATATAGCACGTAGAAGAAAGAAAAACAAAGAATGTATTATAATATACTGCGTCTGTCTAGCTAGATACTAAAACTAGAATCAAATATTTCATCTTTTTGAGTGAACCTTACAGTAAAAGATAAAATTTTTCAGTATAATATAGCCACGAGGACAGTATGATATCTCATAATAATCTATATGGAGGACAAATTAATGATTCATAGAAAACCACAGGCCTGGAAATAATTATTGAGACAATAAGTTTAAAAGAAACTACTTAGAATGTCCAGTATTAGGCCCCGAGGAAGCATGGATAATTCAACTTCCTATAAATCACTTAAGATTTTTTATGGCTCATTATTTATGTGTGAACAGTTTCACCAAGGTTGGCCAAGAGTCCACTGCAATCAAGATGTTAAATTCTTTTGGCTGTTTAACAGTTTGGCTGACTGAACATGAAAATAATATTTCTATATGTTCATTTTAGTAAATTTGTAAAAAATAAGCCACATAGGTTTGAAAGAAACTCTCTGCACTTAAGATAATCTTTCCTATTTAATCTTCTAGTAAAATAAATATTGTGGCTTGGATTCCAACAAAGTTAGTACTTTTTTTTTTTAAGTCTTCTTTCTTATTTTTTAGTTAAAATATTGAAGTCTTTAAAAGTATTTTTGACCTGAACTTCAGAATGATAGGGATAGCAACAATATAATCAAAGTTGAAAACATTTAAGTGTATAAAAACTAAGCTCAACAAAGTACATCTGAATTTGATTGGGTAAGAAAACAAGAAGAGTTGTATATACCACAGATCAATTGATTAGAGAATAAGAGAAACCCTGTGGATAGCTGCTCTGCTTATTATCATTCTATCGTCATTTCTCAATTACCTGAAAATGTTATTTCTCACACATAACTAGTGGTAACACAGTAAAGATAAATGCTTCTACTATGCTAGGAAGAGCATACTTTCAACTAGGAAGACATTACATTGTATTCTATTTCCTTAAATGATCACTGTGACATTAATCAAAGTGAATGCTGATTAGAAAATTAAATATTTGATTGTCTTTTTGCAGAATGAAAGAAAAGATATTAATCAAAGATTCTCAGAAGGGTCTAACTAGTCCCTTACTTCAGCCAACACCTGCCCCTTGGAAGCAGGAAGATAATGGCTGCTAACACATGAGAGTTTGAGAGCAATTGATTGCTGTAAACAACTTTTAATTCTTCTTTAATCAAAGTAATTACAAAGTACAATGGTTGTTTGACACTTATACTCTATCAAGGTAAGGTTAAGGTGCTTTTAAGACACTTCACTTGTGCCGAAGAAATAAAACTGCATCTTACTCTACTAATCCTAGAGTCATAGACATTGCTTACCATTTAAAAAGTTAAAATCTAGGTTAATATTCTTATCTAAAAGAATCATATTTCAATTTTTGTAACATGAATATTTGGAATTTGGAAAAGCCAATAATCATATTTTTATCAACTTTAATAAATGACAGAAAAGCCATATCCTTACATCTGGTGATGTCAAAAGTGTTTCATGGCAAAACTCCAAAGTGGGCAACTTTCAATAAGTTAGCATATGCATGTTCTTTAAAGATTCATGAGAATTGGCCTGGTGCAGTGGCTCATGCCTGTAATCCCTGCACTTTGGGAGGCTGAGGCGGGTGGATCACCTGAGGTCAGGAGTTCGAGACCAGCCTGACCAACATGGCAAAACCCCACGTCTATTAAAAATACAAAAATTAGCTGGGCACGGTGGCGTGTGCCTGTAATCTCTGCTACTCAGGAGGCTGAGGCATGAAAATAGCTTGAACTCGGGAGGTGGAGGTTGCAGTGAGCCGAGATCGCGCCGTGCACTCCAGCCTGGGTGACAGAGTGAGACTTTGCCTCAAAAAATAAATAAATAAAAATAAATAATCATGAGAATTGAAATGGTGAGTCATTGGGGCATTGGCACAAAAACGAAAATTTATTATTTATTATGAATTAATTTAAATTTGTTTTAAGTGTACATTTCTATACTTCCAGAATATCAATGGAGGAAACACTAGGATCCAGTCTTCAGCATAAAAGTTCAGAATTTGTATTAGATTTACTCTCGTATAAGTCTGTCCTTTAATTGCCACTGTACATTATAATTTATAATAGCCACTCATTATTTATATATTCAGTAACACTCTAACAATGCTTATCTTAGCATAGTGATCTCATGAAGAGGTATAAGAGTTTAACAGATACATTATGGGACTAAAAGTTACAAGTCCTGCATCTGAGACCCGGATCTATTAAGTCTTTAGCCATAGACGCTCAAACAATGCATCTAAAGGTGCTAAGACAAGTTTTATCCTTGAAAATTGATGATGGCACATTTCTTGCTTGTATCACAGTTATACTTTGTGGATTAAATGGGAAATGCATTTGCAAAATGTTGAAACAAATCATTGTGAAGATATATGATTTTACCAGTCATCATCATGCATTCACCATTGGTGATACAAACGTCCACAGAGTATTTGCATCTCCATTTTATGCACATCAAACCAAAGTACTGGCCTTTGCTGCTTATGGATGGGACTCTAATGCAAAACTAAACTATCAGTGTGAGGATGTCAAAGGTAAGAAATATAGAATGGAACAAAATAATAAAGGGCATAATTTTAGAGTTTCCTTTCCTGTTCTAAAATTTTTATATCTGAAAATAGATAATATGAATAAAATTGTCAGAAATAACAAGAGATTCGTTATTTCAACACATGCATTCGCTTAAGACTTTATTTTACATGGTTGGTAATGAAGAATAGAAAACACAAGCAGTAGTTATATAATGTCACATGTCATTGTATTTCCGTATTTGTGCTTATTCCTATTTTCACAAAGAATGAGACAGCTCAAAATTCTAATTCTAAGTAACAGATTTAACTTTTTCCACACTAAAACTAACTTAATAGTTCCCAAAAGGAAGTAAAAAATGAAATAGAGATTTAGGGGAAGCAGGCAAGTAAGGGAAGCAAGTTAGTAGTGGTGAGAGAAGCAGAGCTGTGGGTTCAACAAAGCCAGAGGAGAGTCAGAAATGAATATTGAAAAAGTGAAAAAATGGTTGGCAACAGATGATTCAAGTAGCTTTGAAAGGCCGAACCTAAAAGAATCCCTAGACACAACCCATACTGGTGAAAGCATCCTTTTATAGAATACCAGGACCCAAGGGGTAGCCTAGAAAATCATAAAGGCAACAGCTCATTCAGATAGGCTCTGAGTAGCTCACAAACAATAAAATCTTCAAATTCAAGAAAGCAGAAGAAAAAAGTACCAAAAGCCAAAATAATCACATGCTGATTAATGAATCACTAAATAGTATCAATCAAATTAATGCAGAAAGTTTTTTATCATGCTAGTAAAAAAAGCAGGATTCTCAGTCTCATGAAACTCATTATGGAAAATAAAAGTATTAACAAAGTTAGCACAAATGTTATTTACAATTATCAGAAGATATGAAGGAAACTGCAAGATCTGATGACATAATAGGGAGGCAAATTTTAGATTTATAGCTCAGGTTACCTCTCTGAAGATATGGTGTTTTGGCTGAGTCTTAAAGGATGGCTAAGCATCACATGATGAAAGAGTGAGGGTATTTAAGGCATGTGGGAGGGCCCTGATATGAATAAAGACTTAGTGTGTTTAAAGAACGTTGTGGATAAAGTACCAAAAATGAACAGTAGTTTCTCTAAAATATGTTTAGCATTTTAAACCTCACATCCTTCAGGAAGCCTTTCTGATTTCTCCTACTTTATTTGAGTGCTCTCTCCTGTGCTCCCCAACACTATGTATCTCTACCACTGTATTTCCTGGATTTTGTTATAATCTGCTTTAATGACATTTTCTATACCGCATCACTTGCTTAGTTAGAACAGGTTTCATTCATGTTTACACCCAACATGGCCTACAACAATATCAAGCAGAGAAGCATTTAATAATTTGTTCAGTTTCAAAAGAATGCAACTATAAATGTATTCATTAGTATAAAGTAATTGACTCCAAAAGTACAGTCACAATGGTGACTGCATCATTGTCACCGAGCGTATCATTGTGACCATTTGAATATATTTCCAATCTGAAGCAAGCATTTGCTCATCCACTATAGAAGTCTTTAGTAATTGATCCATTGAATAATCTGAGCCTCATGAAAGAGTTTGACGATTTTTTTCTCCAGTCATTTCATGTTTCCCTCTGGTCGTATTCTGCTCTCTCTTCTCTGTCCATGAATTATCTGGGGTGGATCCAATGACTTTCCAATAACTGAAGTATTGAACAATATACTTTAGTTAATCCAATTTAAAATTTGATCTCATATTCAATTTAGTTCTATAATTCTCCTCTTCACATTCCTACATCAGCCAACTCCTTGCCTAGGATCAAAGGCTAGAAAATTCAAATATGTGTCCTTCATTTTCCCTCCTTAACACCCTCCACTTCTTTTTCATTTCTTCCAGGGGTTTGAAGAAAGGATCAGAGAAAACTGGCAAAATTTGTTTTACTTAAAACGATGCAATTGAAGTCTGCTCTTGGTTAAGAATTCCTTCTCTTGGGCAGGGATTCAGATGCTGGCTATCTTGTGGGGTCTGGGTTTACTGGAAACCTTGCAGGGTTCTCCTCACTCTTCCAGGTATGGGAAATGGGCTTGATGGGACATTTTCTAAATGCTACCTGTAGTTTTCTCCTGCATCTCCCACAGCCCTTACTCATTGGGTTCCCTTACCTGATAGGCAGTCCTCTTAGGTGGGTAACTAGAAATTTGGACCTAGTCTTTCTACATTCTATGGTGTCCACTTCCTACACAGAAATGTTACACATCCTGTCATAGCAAAGAATATAAATGCAGGACTATCTCCATCTACTCTCAATAGTGTTCTTTTTTTAAAATTTCAATAGGGTTTTGGGGAAACAGGTGCTGTTTGGTTACCTGAATAAGTTATTTAGTGGCCAATTCCAAGATGTTGGTGTACTCATCACCCAAGCAGTGTACACTATACCCAATGTGTAGTCTTTTATCCCTCATACCCCTCCCATTCTTTCCCCAGAGTCCTCCAAGTCCATTGTATCATTCTTATGCCTTTGCGTCTTCATAGTTTAGCTCCCACTTATGAGTAAGAACATATGATATTTGGTTTTCCATTCCTGAATTAATTCACTTAGAATGACGGTTTCCAATTCCTTCCGGGTTACTGTGAATGCGATTATTTCAATCCCTTTTAAGGCTGAATAGTATTCCACTGTGTGTGTGTGTGTGTGTGTGTGTGTGTGTGTGTGTGTGTGTATGGAATATACATGTACATATATATGTACATATACATATATCATATATAAAATATACACACACACCACAATTTCTTTATCCACTCATTGATGAGAATTTGGGCTGGTTCCATATTTTTACAATTATGAATTCTGCTGCTATAGATATGCGTAAGTATCTAATTTGTATAATGACTTCTTTTCCTCTGGGTAGATACCCAGTAGTGGGATTGCTGGATCAAATGGTAGTTCTACTTTTAGTTCTTTAAGGAATCTCCACACTGTTTTCCACAGTGGCTGTACTAGTTTACATTCCCACCAGCAGTGTAAAAGTGTTCCTTTTTCCACCACATCCATGCCAACATCCATTATTTTTTTAATTTTAAAATTATGGCCATTCTTGCAGCATAAGGTTGTATTGCATTGTGGTTTTGATTTGCATTTCCCTGATCATTAGTGATGTTGAACATTTTTTCACGTGTGTGGCCATTTGTATATCTTATTTTGCGAATTGTCTATTCATGTCCTTAGCCCACTTTTTGATGGGACTGTTTATTTCTTTCTGAGTTCCTTGTAGATTCTGGTTATTAGTCCTTTGTCAGATGCATAGATTGTGAAGATTTTCTCCCACTCTATGGGCTGTCTGTGTACTCTGCTGATTGTTTCTTTTGCTGTTCAGAAGCTTAAGCTTTTTCATTTATTTAAGTCCCATCTATTTATATTTGTTTGGTTGCATTTGCTTTTGGGTTCTTGGTCATAAAGTCTTTGCCTAAGCCATTGTCTAGAACGGTTTTTCCAATGTTATCTTGTAGAATTTGTATGGCTTCAGATCTTTTTTTTTTTTTTTTAACTATGAAAATGACAGAGCTCACAGAAAGAATATAGGAGGTCAGACAAGGCAACGTGCAAAATTACATATGTACAACTCACGGCACATAAACTAGAACTGACAGTATATT